ATGTGTTTTGGGGTTTGAAAGCCACTGGGACATCATGTTTAGAAAATAAACGTCTCAGTTCCTCCGAAACACCCGCAACATAGGCGATGATGTAATTTAGTTCGGCCAGTAGCTGCCGTCCTGACCGCTGGAGCAGAACTGATGAGTTTTCTTTAAAGATATGTCTTTAAAAGAATCATGTAAATCTAGTTTTATGTATTTCTTGTCTCGTTGAGCCATGGGGGGTGGAGGGGGGGTCGCAGCCTGAACCGTTTGAGAACCACTGCTCTGCTCGCAGCTCGTCTCTGGGATTAACAGAAGTGGAGTTTTAGTATCAGACGCTCTCAGATGTCACAGTTGCCACCTATGCAGCACATCCATATCCTGACTCCTCCACGCCACTCAGACACCCTCACGTCTCCTTTTTTCACCCGACCCGTCAGCGTGCGAGGCGCTGCGTGGAGCCGAGCGACGGACCGGACCGTTTGTTGTTCCTCCGCCTCTTTCTGTGAGTTCTTCACCTGTTAGAGATGCAGGGCGAGGGGTTCGTTCCTCAGCTCAGCAGCGGGGTCACCTCCAACAGCTTCGACTAACTGCAGTTCTCTGGCTTTACGTCAGCTGATGTTTGAATCGTTTAAGCTTTTTTTGTGTGTTTGGAAGGTTAAAATCACGCTGCAAAAACTGTCCATCTAAAGTTTTAAAACCTTATATCCAGCCAAAAAAGTCTTTTTGATTTTGACTCAATTAAGACAAAAATTTCTGCCAAACGAGTAAGAACATTTTACTTCGAATCAAGTATTTCAAAAATCTTATCAAGTAAAATTTTCTTACTTCTATGGTTGAAATTTTTGACTGAATTTGAGTCAAATTTTCAGARTAACAAGACAAATAATCTTACACAATCTGAAAACAAGATTATTATTCTTACACAGTCAGTTGTTGTTTAGTAAATGAGTCTCAAAACAAGATCTAACAGATTTTTTTGGCTGGATATAAGGTTTTAAAACTCGGTTAGATGGACGTTTCTGTTTCCTCGTAGAGTTTCAGGGTAGAAACACGCTCAGTTTTTAGTTTTTGCTCAGGTTTTGTGTTAAAAAGTCTCAAAGGCTTRGTCTCTTTAGCATGAAGCACGTCTGCGTGCATCAAGAGACGCTAAAAAGTTGCCACTTTTTTATTTAAAAAAAAAATGGCCAAAACTACTGAAATACTCAGACTTTTGTTTGTGTGCACGTTGTGCACACAGTAATCCACTTTAAGAGCAGATTGATTCTTCTTCAGATGGTTTTATTTGCAGGTGAATTTCTGCAGCTGTCAGCTGTCGCACAGATCAAGATGGAGGTCAAAACTAATCTTGTGTTTTATTTAAACAGCACAAATCCTSATGATTGGGATTAGCCCCTGTGTTCCTCCTCTGAAGGATTTTCATCCTGCTGCGTGCGCCTCCTCCTGACAGACGAAGAGAGTCGCTTTGAATAAACTGATTCCTTGTAGGAATGCACGTCGGCCGCCACTTTCAGACTAACATAAGAGATTTTTTTGTGTTATGCTGTGTTTTTATGTTTACATTACATGTGAGCCATCATATCYAAATTAGGATTAAGTCAAATTTGGTCAAAATGACCTAATTACATTTTCAAATTCTGGCTTTAAAAGCTACGTTTTGATACCTGGATCATTCTGATGTCATCAGTTTATCCAGAGATGTGACTTAATTAGTCTTGTTGGTTACAATAATACATTACTGTTTGGTCTGAATCCTAATTTTATGTAAATTTTAGGGGTGTAAGAAAATATCGATACACTGAAATATCGCGATATTTCATTTACCGATACTGCATCGATATTCTAAGGCCCTGTATCGATTTTTAATTAAGGTTTAAAATGTCAACCTTCTTGCCAACCGTTCATTTTTATGTTGTAGTTCAGCCTCTGACCACTAGTTGGCAGCAGTGAGCCAGACATTTGGCTCCGCTACCTCTTGAGCGCCAGAGAGTAAGGGTGCATTAGCATTGTAAGTAAACATTAGCTTTTCTTTTTTTTTTTTTCAGTAAGAGGTTTTTATTTAATGGAATTTTTGGACAAAAAAATCGCAATATATTGCCTTGCTTACAGTATCGCAATATATCGGGATATATCGTATCGTGACCCCTCTGTRATGATATGTATCYTATCGCRAAATTCTTGCCAATACACAGCCCTAGTAAATTTATTGAGTATTTTTTGATGTCAYTATTAAGAGGAAACCTCAAATAATTTTTGTATATTAAGATTTCCCAGTTGGAAAGAAACAAAAACATTGCTAGCTCAGGGAAAATTTAAAAATTTTAAGGCGTTTTTCCTCAAAATCATTTTTTTTTTGTTGCTATTGCTCAAAAAATGCTTCAAAAAATTTTTTTATGATCAGACAGTTCTTACTAATGATACATTGATGAGACATTAATTCATTATATTTTGACAAAATGCAATTTTTTCACGTTTAAACCCTATTTTTGCCCATTAATCCACTTTTGGACTTAATCCTTGTTTCGACGTGACYGCTCACATATTTGCCACTATGGTTGCCATTATGTTTATATTCTGATTGCACTACAGATGTGTTTATTTATTTTTAAAGTTCATCTTGTTGAGCAGAAATGAACCCTGAAACTCTGTGAGAAACCTGCAGCAGCTTTTTGTTTTATTTGTTTTATTTTTTTGATTTCTTCTCTGCTCAAAACTTTACGGTCTAAAAACGTTTAATTTATTTGCACTTGTTTTGCACGCAGACCGTCATGGCCGCCCACCCAGCCTCCTTTACTTCTCGTAGATTTAGGTGAAGCACTTRCTGTGCTGAAAACTGACTCAGAGGTGATGAAGGGTTTCCCACCACTCTTTTATCACGTACACCAACACCCAACGTGCAACTTCCCCGAAAACGAGTCAGATACTTTCTGTCTGCACCCCCACCCCTCCACCCGACACGGGTCATCACCTGCTACAATGTAAAAGCAGAAATTAATGTATTTCGGCCACTGAATGAAACTCCAAGCACTGCATGAAAGCAGCTCTGAAACCGATGTCTCGTAGTGATAGTCGCTCGCTCCGCCGCTCCTGGATCAGGCCCAGCTCAGAAACAGGAGGTAAACTGCTCCGATTAAAGGGCTTCGAATTAAAGAGTCGAAACATATTTTAGACCCGTAATGAAAATGTACGTACCTGTATGCAGATTATATTAACACTCAGTTCAGAAAAAGAAAAAAAAAATTACGAGTTATTTTCTAAACTTTTGACGGAACGTTAAAAGGACGAGATAAAGATTTAATCTGTTGCTCTCTTTCACAGAGAGAAGCGGGAAGTGATACACAACCCTAACTCTGAAAGAGTCAGGTCAAGTGTAAATAAAAACAGAATGCAATGTTTGAAAGTCTCAGAAATATACATTATATTCATAGTGACACAGCGAACACACGAAATGTGGAGTTTTTTGCAGCGATAACTCTAAAATGTTGGAACAGGAGTGAAAAATGCTGTAAAAGTTAGTGATATGAATAAAAAAAAAACAAGTTTTTATTAAAAAATGGGTATAAAATTCATATTTTAGAGCAGGGCTATTCAGCTAAATTGCTCCGGGGACCACAGTTCCTACAGGCCGAACATCCAGCATTTAAACTCATTATAAACCAAWTATTATAAAGATCTGTTACCTTTAAAGTGTCTGCGACATGCCCATCCTTCAAATACAAAAAAGTCAAAAAAAACATCTTTATACTTAAAAAAAAAATTGCAAAGCACAGATTATTTTACCCATTTTGTGCCATAACTGGCCTATTTTCTTTTGAACTTGGCTCAACCAAAGTGAAACAGGAAGTGACATCAAAGGGGAACTCATTAATAAAATAAACTCTGGTTTTTGTTTATTAAAACAAAATTATTCAAGCTTTAACTCTTCTTTATCTCTCTGATAGTGACTCAAAATAATCTAAAGGAACCTCAGCTTCTTCTCTACAGTCTGTAACAACGCTCTGTTCACATTCAGACGTTCCTGTTTGACATCACTTCCTGTTTCTTCACATGCAAATATCTCAACAACRGTTCATCTCAGCGGCYTGAAATTTYTTTTGCAATYTTTTATCAGTTTTATCTTTCCAAAAACGCATTCATGTTTATTTCAAAAATATGATGCCGCAGGCACTTTAAATTAGTTTATTTTGCTGCATTTAATCATGAAGACAACATAGACAACCCTGTGTAATAAAAGTAGTGATAATAAAACGATATCAAACACATGATACCTCTAATTGAACCCAAATCTTATTTTGACGTCTCTGACTTGTCAAAATTTTAAACCAATTTTAATTTAACTTTCATATTTTTATCTTCAACTACTTGTAGTTTCAAATGTCTTGGATGTTCATAGAAATGGTTTCTGTAGACACCAAACATGTCTATGTTTAACTAAAATAACTCACAGTAATTAAAGTAGAAAAGGGGTTTGGGCTGAAGAGATGAACGAAGCAGTTCGCAGGCCGGATGTTGAATAATCCTGTTTTAGAGGCTGAAACTCTGAGAAGTAAAGATGGGCAGAGATTTAACAACAGTGGAACAATTTCAGAATAAAAGCTTCTCATTAAAAACATGAAGTCTTTGAATCCATGAGGCTGAAGGTCCTGCATCATGTCCCACTGTGAACGAAATGCTCATTTATAATCATTGCATTCAGTCTTTATTTACATTTTCTACAACCTCCCTGTTCTTCTGTTAGAAACGGAGCATTTGTTCACTTTWATGTGAACCAAAGGATTTCCAGCACTGACACAGAATTGTTTCGCCTTTTTGTGACCCTTTCCTGAGAACCAGAAACACTATTTTGTAGACGTCTGTGACCGCCTCGGGCCTGACGGCTGGTCTATCTATGCATCACACAGATTATATTTGTGAACTGGCTCYTCGCCTCCGACCTGAAACACGGTTCGTCCACAACGTGAACACCTGAACCGACTGAAAACCTGAAGAAAAGGAGGAAAAGAAAACGAAAAATGTCTCATCAGAAAACCTGTTTGTCCTTTTATCTGTTTAACAAAACAAAATGTATGTGAAAACATCACTAACAAGTAAATTCAGTTGTTTTTTTTTTTTAACGAGGCAGGTGCCGGACAGCCTGTTGGGACCAGTTTGTAACGGCGCACCTGTTTCTGATTAGTAATCAGCTGTGATTCTCTGCATCCCGACGACGTCGTCGGTGTTTGCGTGCAGGAAACGAGACAAACAACCTTCAGGAGAGTCTGTCTGTTATCCTCCCTGCGTGTGTTTTACGTGTCAGAAGCGTGAGTGTGGCTCCATCGTGTGAACGCCCGTAAATCAGCCGAACGGCCGTTTTCCCTCCACCCCTCGGTGCAYACGTGTGTCTGAGCTGTCCTGGAAGCATGAAGTGAACCCGTCTGTGTTTCTGTCAGCACTGATGTAACAGACAGGCTCTCACACTCCTCAGTCTCCAGCAGCGATTGTGCAATAAACTGAAATTTATATTTTTAAACCTGGCCACCTCTTTCATCCTGTGTGGAGTTTTTTTATTTTAACATTTTCAAATGATTTCGTGCTATTGTTTTTTAATTTTATTTGTTTGTTCTCAGTGGTTTTTGATCAACCGCACAGAAACAGCTGCACCAATCTACATGAAATTTGGCGGGAATGTAGATGAGTCTGACCTACACTGAGC